TTACACAATTGATGTGTGTATGGATTGTGATAACAGTTGTATGAGCCCCTAATAAAATGTTTAAAAAAAAAAAGAGTTACAGTTTTGGAAACCCACGGGGTGGTTCTGCCCTGTCCTTTAGGGCCATGGTGAGCCAGCATTGACTCGATGGCAGTGAGCTTGGCTTGGGGAGCCCTCTCATTACATCGCCCATGCACCCCTCCCACCACTAGGGCTTGCGTCTTGTTCCCAGAGATCTCCTGAGGGACACGGATGCCTGGGCACTCCTCAGACTGTCCACCGAAACGCAATGTCTGTGCAGTGTCCCTTCTCCCTCCCCCACCTCCCCAACCCTAAGAGTTGAGCACTGTGGTGTGTCTGCATCCAATGGATGCCCTTGAGAGCAGATTGCAGCCGTGGGATGGCTGTGGTCCCCAACAAAAGGATTCCCTTTTCCTTAGACCGTATCAGGTACTCCCAGATATGGCTCACTGCGGTGGTCCCCCATCTACCCAGAGACACCTCAGAAGAGAGGCCTGGCAGTCTACCCCCAATAATCTACCACCCCCAATAATCCTATGGAGCAGGTTCTAGTCCAACAACACATGTGGGGTCATCGTGAGGCAGCGCGGACGAACTGCCCTTGGGCATGGGTGGCCAATTCAGAATGTGCCTGCCCTTCTACTGAAGCCGCTAGTAGGAAAGGCGGGCTAGACTTGGCTGGCTGGTCCTCTCCTGCGAGGTGCTGCTTTTCAAAAGGGGGAAAGAGCCCGAAGGAGGATGAATTGGAAGAGCCTGACTCTGCCAGCCCGGGAGGATTCCACGCGCAGCCTTGCCCCCCGGCAAGATGGCTTCGCTGTGCCCGGGCCAGGAAATAAAAGTGAAGTCAAATAACCCCTGTTCGTTCTCCGGTCAGTTCGGTCAGTTCTGAGTCTTCCCTCTAACCTTTCATTTCCCAGGGCCTGAGAACATTCTAGGGCCGATTCCAAAGAATTCAGACAGCGGTCCTTTGGGAACCATGAGGTGCCACCTTGCTGCAAAACTGACCCAGCAGGACCGAACATTTTCGTAAAAAGCCAAAGATAAATAGCAGTTCTTATTCTTGTCCCCAAGCCCTCTTCTCCTGCCACTGAAAGTGGGTGCTTGAAGCATACCAACCTGATGATTTTCAGCCCTTACAATCCAGATGGAGACAAAGAAGGTCAGTCTAGCCCTGACCTCTGGAGTCTCATCATTGCCAAGGCACATGGACATTTTAAAATAGAAAAATAGCATGTGCTTGTCAGCAGGGAGAAATGCAGCATCCATCCATCTCTCTCCTCTTTGAAATCCTGCTAGGGATGTAGGGGGAGGATCCAGAAAGCTCCATGCCTGCAGCTACTATGCATGTGTATTCCTTGTCGTTGCTGGGTGCCCTCAGTCAGTTCCACCCCATAGCGGCCCTCTGCACACAGAACAAAGCCCTGCCTGGTCCTGCACCTCGCTCACAGTTGTACCTGGACTTGAGCTCATATCCGTGCGCAGCTCAAGTTCATGCTTCTCCCTGACCAGGGGGACAGGGGTCCTTGGACAACACTCAGGTGAGTTGGGGCCTCGACAGACTCTTGTGGAAGAGGACTGCATTGCTGAGGGTCTGTTTCTGTACAGAAGTCCATCTGTGCCCAAGCCCTGCCAGGAGACATCCCACTGGCCGGCCCGATGTGCACCTGGGAGCCAGCCTGTGGCTAACACGGGGCAAAAGACAGCCTCAGCCCGCGGCAATAAGGCAGTGCTACCCTGAAGCGAGTCACATGGTGGATTTGGGAGGTTTGGGGGTGGGGGTCCCAGTGCATATAGAAGTCGTGCCCACACTATACTGGATTCCATCAAGTGCATGGAGCTCTCTGGACGAGGCTGCAATGTGGCCTCCCCGCCCCAGTTACCCGACTGGCAGAGTCTTGTCTGTTCTGGCCGCGATGGTTTCACGTTAAATCAGAATACTGCAAAATGGGAACGGCGTCATGTGCAGCCACCCAGCTCCCGGGTGCCCTCACACCTCTGCAGCCACCCAGCTCCCGGGTGCCCTCACACCTCTCCAGCCTCATTCTTTCTTTACACTGGAGCGGGAGATTCCCCCCAGGGACATCTCCGTCTCCCTCGGACTTTCTGAAGAAACGCAGATGGACGGCCAGTGCAGACAGACAACTTTAAGCAGGGTGCGCCGGACCCTTCCTGTGGGCCAGGTGCTGCGTGGGGTTTGGAACCGCCTGAGTCAGCGGCTCACGCTCATTTCTCAGACCACGGCCACACAGCCACCCTCACGACCAGCCTGTCACACAGGGAGGTGGGAGGTATTCAGGGGGTGACACTTACCTCCTGGTCAGCTCTTGCCTTCCCCCAGCCCAGGGCCCTTCCCAGGCAGCAGGCGGGGGCCTTCACTCAGTCTCCCCACTGCTGGCATCCGTGTGGGGCCGTCGTGGCCACCAGCCCTGGGCTTGTGTGGGGGGCAGGCTTTTCCCCTCTCCCTTTATGGGATCCAGGGTTTAAAAGTAAACAGTGCCTTCTCGTGCTGATAAGTCACATTAAGTTATTGATTCAGGGGGAGGGAGGGCAAGACCTCAGTCCACTAAAGCAGAGTCACCTTTGGTCAACCATGCAAAGCAAGGACGGAAGCCCAGCCCCCAGGCCTTTCCCTGGCTCAGCCTACAGAGCAGACAGGGAGGCGGAAACTCTGTGTAGAGGCCAAAGGAGTGAACCCGGGAGCTGCACCCCATAAACACATGATTCCACTCATAACCCCAGCTCACACTTGGTTATCTCTTTCCTCCCAGGAAGATGGCAGTTGGTGGCAATCGTCCCCTCAGATTTCTGGGCCATCGGAATCTATTCAATGCATGATGTCCCTGGTCCAGGCTACTTAGAACTCTTAACCAATATTTGGAAGCCAATCTCATTTTCCGCTCATGCCGGTCATATCTGACGTGGTTACCATCTATCCCCGTGTTCATGCCAACAACAACACTGAGACCAGGGAAGGCCGAACCTGTGTAAGGAGGAAACCTGTCAGAGAAGGAAAATGCAAGTATTTCTCACTAAAACAGAAGACAGAAGAGAGGTAAGACTGCACCCTGTAAAGGGAGAACATTTTGAAGATGTGAAAAAAAGAGGCAGCACCCTCCCCCCTCCACCCCAGCTCTCATGAGTCAGTTCACTAAGTTCCCCCCTTATCCGCTAAGCTTTAGGAGCACAGTGAGGTGCTGGACAAACAGAATTAGAGGAGGCAGGAAGCTTGCGTGCACACAGCAGCAGGCAAATCAGAAGCTGATGCAGGCTGTCGTCTGTCCAAGGTGTATCCTCTCAGCTATTCTTACTTCCGTTGTCTTGGGCCATTTCCTTTCCTCGGATGACTCTAACATTTGGTGTCCGAGCTTGAACAGGAAATGGCGTTTCCCTCTCTGTAATCTGTGAGGTCTGGCTGACGATGGTTTGTCCTCAAGCACCCATTATTGTCACTCTGACGTACACTTTCTTCCAGCGATTCAATGTCCCTATCTTGAAGTACCATGCTGCCGATGAGAGGGTTCCATCTATCCGCATATAAGGAAATGCAGTCAATACAACTATTATACCCATGTATGCACCAACCACTAAAGCTAGGGATGGGGATGATGAAGACTTTACCAACACCTTCCGTCAGAAATGGATCAAATGTGCAGCCAAGATGCAAGGGTAATGGTTGACGATTGGAACGCAGACATTGGAAACAAAGAGGAAGGGATCGTAGTTGAAAACACGGCCTTGGTGAGAGAAATGAAGCTGGAGATCTCATGGCAGAACTTCTCAAGACCAACAACTCTTGAATCACAAATACCTTGTTCAGCAACACAAAAGCTGACTGTCTATACAGGTGGGCTTCCCTACATGGAATCCATAGAAATCTATGGACTACATCTGCGGGAAGAGACGATGGAAAATCTCACTCAGCAGCTAAAACCAGGTCAGGGCTGACTGTGGAACAGATCACCAACTGCTCATCTATCAGCTCACATCGAAGATGAAGAACATTGAAACAATCTGGAAGAGGCAAAATGTAACCTTGTGTCTATCCCATCTGAACTCTGAGACCATCTCAAGGACAGATTTCTCGCACTGAATATGAATGACAGAAGACCTGATGAGATGTGGGAGGACATCGAAGACATCATACAAGGGTGGGGTTGGGGAGAGGGAGGAGAATTGGGGAGCCACTTGCGGGGAGGGACCATTAGAACTGATAGTGATGATGTATATACAACTCTTAGAAAGCAATTGAACTATGGACGTGTATGATGTGTGAATCACAGAGACTGCTAAGAAAAGAGACTTCACACACATGGTCACCGTGTGAAGGAGGAAGAGTCTTTGCTTAGGGGCATTGGGTTTTTATTAATGGTGGTGGAATAATTTGGAAAAAAGATGACAGTAATGGATGTAATCAATGGTACAGAATTATCCATGTAGATGTTCTTGAACTGGAGAATGTTTCATTGTGTATATTTTTGCCACACTTAAAAAAGTAATAATTACATGAATAAAAATGAGTGCAAGGAAGAAGAAAATATTCTAAAATAGATTCTGGTGATGATTGTACAACTCTTCTTGATATGATCGAACTATTGAATTATAACTGTTTTTTTAAAAAAGAACACCATACGTGAATAAATCAAAAGGTCATTGAAAATACAAGAAAGAAAGAAAAGAGCAAAGTGGATGTCAGAAGAGACTCTGAAACGTGCTCCTCATCATGGAGCAGCTCGGGCAAATGGAAGAAATGATGACGTCAAGAGTTGAACAGAAAATCTCAAGGGGCAGCTCAAGAAGATAAGGTAAAATATTCCAATAAAACATGAAAAGACCCAGAGGTAGAAAATGAAAAAGGAAGACAAGCTCAGCATGTCTTTAACTGAAAGAACTCATGAAAAAAAAAATCCAAGCCTTGAGCTGCAATATTCTATGAACAAAATACTGAACGATGTAGGCAGCATCAAAAAAAGTTGGAAAGAATACACAGAGTCACTGCGCCAAATGAACTTGTCGACATTCAATCATTTCTTTTTTTTTTTTACAACCATTTCAAGAGGTAGCATATGATCATGAACCAGTGGTACTGAGGGCGGAAATGCAAGGTGCACTGAAGGCATTAGCCAAAAGCAAGACTCTAAGAACTGACAGAACACCAAGTGCACTGTTTCAACAAACTGATGAAGCACTGGAAGCACTCACTCGTCTATGCCAAGACATTTGGGAGACAGCTATTTGCTCAACCGACTCTAAAAGATCCATCTCTGTACCCATTCCAAAGAAAGGTGACCTAGCAGAATGGAAGAATTTTACCAATTCTTTTATTTATGACACCCAAATAATACAATATCAATAAGACAAGTACAATTTTGCTGAGGATCAGCCAACAATGATTGTGCCAGTACATTGACAGGGAGCTGCTAGAATCTCAGGGAGGATTCAGAAGAGGACGTGGAATGAGGGAGATCATTGCTGATGTCCGATAGATCTCGTCTGAAAGCAGAGACTACCAGAAAGATGTTTACTTGTGCTTCATTGACTAGGCTAAGGGGCATTTGACTGTGTGGATCATAACAAACTATGGATAGCCTTGAGAAGAATGGGAATCCTAGGACACTATTGTTCTCATGTGGAACCTGTACAAGGATCAAGAGGAAGTTGTGGGAACAGAACAGGGAACATGCATGGTCTAAAGTCAGGAAAGGTGTGTGTCAGAGTTGGATCCTCTCACCATATTTACTCAGTCTGTGTGCTGAGCAATGATCAGAGATGTTGGACTATTGGGGTTTTAAAAATCCTTTTATTGGGGGCTTGTACAACTCTTATCACAATCCACCCATCCACTGTGTCAAGCACATTTGTACATTTGTTGCCATCATGATTCTCAAAACATTTTCTTTTTACTTGAGCCCTTGGTATCAGCTCCTCATTTTTTCCCCTCCCTCTCCTGCCCTCCCTCCCTCCTGCACCCTTGATAATTTATACATTATTATTAGTTTTTCATGTCTTACACCATCCAACGTCTCCCTTCACCCACTTTCCTGTTGTCCGTCCACCAGGGAGGAGGTTATATGTAGATCCCTGTGATCAGTTCTCCCGTTCTCCCCCAGCTTCCCCTGACCCTCCTGGTATCTCTACTCTCATTATTGGTCCTGAGGGGTTTATCTGTCCTGGATTCCCTGTGTTTCCAGCTCTGCTCTGTACCAGTGTGCATCCTCTTGTCTAGCCAGATCTGTAAGGTAGAATTGGAATCATGATAGTGGGGGGTGGGGGAGAAGGGGAGGAAGCATTTAAGAAGAAGAGGAGAGTTGTATGTTTCATCGTTGCTACACTGCGCCCTGACGGACTCGTCTCCTCCCTGTGACCCTTCTGTAAGGGGATGTCCAGTTGCCTACAGATGGGCTTTGGGTCCCCACTCCACACTCCCTCTCATTCACAATGATATGATTTTTTGTTCTTCGATGCCTGAGATCTGATGCTATCAGCACCTCGTGATCACACAGCAGCGCTGGTGTGCTTCTTCCATGTGGGCTTTGTTGCTTCTCAGCTAGATGGCTGCTTGTTTACCTTCAAGCCTTTAAGACCCCAGATGCTATATCTTTTGATAGCCAGGCACCATCAGTTTTCTTTACCACATTTGCTTATGTACCCACTTTGTCTTCAGCAATCGTGTCAGGAAGGTGAGCATCATGAAATGTCAGTTTAATAGAATAAAGTGTTCTTGCACTGAGGCAATACTTGAGTAGAGGCCCAATGTCCATCTGCTACCTTAATTCTAAACCTATAAATATATGTACATAGATCTATTTCCCCATTGTCATAAATAAATATATTTAGATATGTACATGGCTGTATTTAGATCTCTATAAATGCCCATTTCCTCCTAGTTCTTTCCTCTATTTCCTTTTATTCCTCTTGTCCCACTATCATGTTCAGCCTTCATTTGGGTTTCAGTAATTCCTCTCAGTTACATTGCCCTTGATCAAGCCCTACCAGATCTTCTACACCCTCCTTGCCATAGATTTTAGATCACTTGTTATTTCCTCGTCCCTGGGAGTTGTTAAAACACCCACTTCCTAAAAAAACAAAACAAAACAAAAAAAAAACACCCACTTCCTTTCCACCACTTCCCCCTCTGCCATGTCCCCCCCCCCAGAACCATTGGTCCTGTTGTTTTCTCCTTCAGATTGCTTATCCTGCCTATCTTATCTAGATAGACATGCAGAGATAATAATATGCACAAAAAACAAGGCAGGGCTAAACAAAGCAACAAGAGAAAAGAAAACAAAACAGCAACAACAAAACCAATGACAAGAAAAAGAAAAGCCTGTAAATAGTTCAAGGTCTGTTTGTTGACCTTTGGAGCTTTCTGGATGAGTCTGATGGGGTGCCAAGCCCTGGCCCCACAGTGTATTTTTGGT